GTTTTGATGAAATCGTATTGGTGTTGTTTCTGTTTTATATGCTGTATTCTGTAAACAATGAATTTCACGATTCACGTCTGCTGACTTACGCCTAACCTGGTATACTGAGTAATATAACTATGGTGTGTGAATATCTTCATCATGGATATTCCGAGAATTTTTTCTCATTTTTTAACAGTCGCTCGTTAAACAAAATCTCAGTTATTTTCTTGTGTAAAATTTATTTCACAAGATAAGAAAGTAACTGAAATATATGTTCCTAAAATATGGATCTGAAATGGAACACTACCGTTTATTGAAAATTCAACTTGGATGATGTGTTTTCACATCTTGAGGCAAAATTGTAGCATCCATTCGGATAAAAAATGACGGAGAAGTTTTTTTTGAAAATGTTCTAATCATCTTACTTTGTAGAGAAACGAATCAATGTAATGCTCGTTAGCAAAATACCGTAATGTCATATTTGTCATTAAAGAAACTTTCAAGTTTAAATCAACATCAACCAAACTCGTTGTCGATCGGTATTATCGCCATTCTCATTACACGTACTTTATCTTACAAACATTTTAAAATAGAATGCAACATTTGTGACAGTTATAAGCCTTAATAAGTTACGTACAACTGATATTATGGTGTGTTTTCGTAAGGTTGTTCTATGTTACAACATTGTGTTATTTATAATTGTCGCGATTTCTGTCTTCTTCTTTCACTCTTTCACATCCACTTTAATTTATTCGTGTATGACTTATTTATCAACATTTCTTCAAAGAATACTATGTTAAACCCTCTTCAAACGTCATCTGTAAGTTCCCCCGTTTTTTTAAAAACTTATAGCAAAAGGGATCTAAAATGTAAATCTCTTTTGTAGATTTAAAATTAGTTAACTGGAAAATGATCCATTTGTCTGTCGGTGACATTTGCATCGGTCGGCTAATTTCCGTGATACAGTCAATCGTTACATATCTGCACTCAAACAATAGGTGCATAATTCTTCATGAATTTAAAGTAGGAATAAGCGTCGTGTTTCCTTGAAGTGATGAAAGATGAAATTGCAAAGAACTTAGATTTACCAGCTGATTACCGACGAAATCGACACACAAACGTTATGAGAGGTAATCACTGGTTCCGTTTCTATGAATTTGGTGATGGTTATAAAACAATAGGATCCAGACAAATCTCTGTCAGCAGAGTTTGGCCAGCTCAAATGCACGCCTTAAATATATTTTTCGACGTAAAACGGCTACCACAGGTCCACCAGCTAATGCAAAGCCGTGAAGATCGAAAACAAAAGTTCTAAGAGTATCATAACAGGAATCCGAAAGACTATTGAAGCTAAGGAATCCAAAGAGTTCTAAAAGCCTTTAAATGACTTCATTGCAAATGATCATGTAAAAGAACGTAAGAATCAGGCATTGTGGAGATCGTTGAGCTTTTAACGAGCAAACAATAGGTGACAGATACCCATGGTGCTTCGGTCGCATGATATCCTTGCCGACACTGATAGATTTATTTTTGGCAAGGAGTCTTCGCAATCTCCAAGGTACAAGATAACTTCTGAAGGTGTCATGTCAGTTCTGGTGGTGGTCACCGCTATGCGTGACTATCCGCTAGCTGATTCATGAGACAATTCGCGGCGATTTATTGGCTTATAAATTATTATGTACGATTTATCCCTAACTGTGCAACAACATGACAGCCACTGCCGAATGCCTTTGGCGGACAGTTTTTGACATTTCATCTTTCAGTTGAAATTAAAAGAGGATCAGGGGACGCTGACCAAGCGCTGGACTAAAAGGTGGTGCTAGTTCGGCGAAGGACGGGAATGCAATCATACATCAAGACTGACACATCGAACGTGGCGGTAGGAGATATGTTGCAACAGTTGTTAAAGGAAACGTTGGAACCCCATTCACATTTCTCAAAGTGATTTAACGTTATTTAGACTATGAATATCATGTTCTGAAGAGAGTGGCTAGCAATCGCCTAGCAGCAAAATTCAGTTCTTTTTTTAATTGTGCTGTTGGGAATGAATCTATTGGATATTCTAATCTTTTCACTACCCATCCGCCGTGTGTTTTCAGTACTACTCTCTAGATCTCCACAATAGCCGTGAATCAACTTGGAGTTGTCACAGACGATCGTTGAGAATAGATGCTGCAGTAACAAAAGTGTGTTTGAAGACAAATCACATCTGACATTGAGTACATTTTATTGGGAACGTCATGTAGTGTGCAAAAGTGTCCCTCATTCGTCAGCAGCAACCACTATTGAAAGGTTATAGTTTAACGAATCGTTCAGCCGTCACATAGCAAGATATTAAATAAAAGCATCAATAATGAAATTCTTGTACATAACAAATGTATCTTCGATGGCACAAAATTATACGTCGATAACTGCAGTTGCAGATGGCACATTTCATTAATGTGCAGAAGATCAGTTATTACTGAATAAGCAAGAGCGGTCAAGCACGTCCCGAAAAATGCTCACTTTAATGAACAAAATAATACCGATTTCGTGGAGGCGACACTCACAATTATGAAACCGCAACGGGTGGAAAGAGACAATTTGTACCGAGACATGTCATGAAGAATGATGTGTCATAAAGCAAACGATCATCAGAAAACGTAATATCTTAAACAAGAAATTTGTGTAGACTGAGAAAAGACTAATAAAAACTTTGTTTGAGACTACCCATAAGTGAATTTGAATGCTTCAAGGTTGCTTTATTTGGTTTGCGCTGTTTTTTCGGAGAGAATGCATATGATTTAATAAACAATATTGCAGCCATTCTGGAGCACAGTAGAAGTGTTTACGTTCACTATTTCCACACCTTTTTATAAATTCTGTTTCGTGCTTATTGATTTGAATTTATAAAGACTGGAAGCATGAAGCAGGTCGTTACAATCTATGAGCATCCGTTATGAATCCGGTCTACATCCCGGATAAAATAAAAGCATTTAACACTTGGTCACCAACTCCATCTTCTCGAAACAAACCGTGTTTCGAAATATCATTTAAACCAAACGTTTTCAGTCCTGTGACTTATACAACGTCTTCATTTGAAAGAACTATGACTCCTCATGGTGAAAGTAGAGATATTTCGGAAGTCACGGTGATTATGTCGTAGATTGTGTTGAAATGAGAAGGTAAAACACGTCAGTTCTCGGAATAAGTAAAACCCATCGGATACTAGTTGTGCAGGAAAAAATTGGATTCGAGAAATATACTGTTTTACTGTAGTTATGCGTGAAAAGTAAACAATAAGTTCAGCTCTTTTAATAATGACACTTGTGTGTAATAAACTTTGCATTCATCAATACCAATTATCTCTTACTTAGATAAAAGTGAACATTTCAATTCTGAACTAGGCGTAATAATCGCTATACTCTTTTTCACTGAACATGAACTCTGTCTATACTCAATACCATTCAGTTGATATTGACTAAAGTGTTTCTCAACCTTGAAGCGTTTGCGAATGTTATTCATATGAAAAACATTAGGTTGCGTGACACCAATGCAGAATAGCCTTATGAAAAACGAACAATAAATAAGCTACATAATACTGAATAAATTTTATTAGCCTTGAAATATTTATTTAACATTTTCATATGAAAAACATTATGTTTCCATTGAAATTAATGTAGAATTGTCTTATGAGAAGTGGACAGTGATTTTATGGGATTAGCTCACAATTCCAATAACTATTGCTTCCGTGGATACAATGAACTGAACAAACACCCAAGTAAACTTTTATCAAACCCTAGTAAATAAGCTACATAATTACCTGAACATACTGTAACTACATGTAATTATAACGAATAATAATAATTTGATAATGAGCCAGACATTAGTGGGACAATTTTACGTATAATTGAAAACAATTCTGATGTTCATGATTTCGCGAAATTACCGAACAACCGTTTATTCGACTACAGAATATGATACTCCTGGAAGCAATATTTTGGTTACTGTCGACATCTTTTTTGCAGCGCAAAATTCACCATCACACTGCCAAGAATTACATTTTGCAATTATAACCAAAACATGAGTAGTTTGGGCTTCTGCCGCTGAAATTATTATTCATTTACGAAAGTGTAGACTGTTAATCGTTCAACAGTCATAGACTCATTACGTTTGGTTTGAACTCATACAGGTTCACTTCTACCTGACTAATAAGAAACGTTTTGCGTATTTTGATCGCTAAATCTATTTAGAGCCAACGGTACAATGTGCCGGTCAAATGGGCTTTTTTGTGACTGTTTGGAAGTTACAATCCCACATTCAACGATGATGGAGTCGTCTTACAGGATTTATGTCATTGAACATAGATTCAGATGTAAAAATGCAAATTTAGATATCTAATCAAGACAGGTTTTGTTACTTGGATTTTAACCTATCAAAACAAAGCAATGCATCATTGGTAAACAGTTCACAAATAATTACAAGTAACAAAATGTTTGTTCGTGAAAATATGAGCACACATTTTGACCTACATTAAAAACCCTTCACTTCGTTTAAACTATCGCTAATCGTATCCAATATTATTTTCACCAATAGAGGCTATGGAATTTCAACCAATGGTGGCTACGTTTCAGCCTTTAGAGTACAACAGCTACAAGTATATTGCACTACGATGAGTTCGTCTTCTACCATGAGTGGTTAACAATGATCATATGATTTTATGAAACGTGATGTTTCTAATGGTCACTTCGGATCGTCGAATAAGAAAGAAACAAACAAACTTAAAAAATGTATATAAATACGACAAGGTCTAACAACAATTATTACCGTTGTGAACAAGAAGATGAGGTGAGTGTTGACTATACAGTTTAAGCAAATGAGTGTGTTTTGTGAACTTCAATTTGTTTCAATGAAATAAGGCTGTATATTTTTATCTGTACCATTCCAGGCATAGCTTTGCAACTGGCCAGTTTATACTGCTCTATTCCATCATCGTATTAATTTTTAAATTCTTCGACTGCCATGACATTTGCACAAAACCTGAATTGAGTAAATATGAAAAAGTAATTTTTGAAAGTGATGCATATAATTATGTAAGTAATCAATCCGGTTCCAATACACATATTCAGTCTCATCACTATTATTATTCCCGGATGATCCGCTCTGATCAGTCTCCTCCAATTGTTAGCGGCACGTTTGAAAGACTGGTTGATACTAAAGTGAGTTGACTAAATTTTGCAACGATGTTTCATTCCATATGTTTGCTTATAATCAGGATATCGATGCGAAGTTCCCGTTTACGTTTTACGGTTCTCAAGTCGTCAAATTCAGAATATTAACTACAGGTAAGAGAATGATTTTCATCGAACTAAAATTGTTACCGAGTTTTGTTTATTCACATTTCATTCCGTGTACCAATGTTGATTTAATTTCTTCAGTAAATCAGTTTTTTGCCCTTTGTAGCATTCAGAACATCTACTGATATCTTATTTCGTTCAAGTTGTAAACACTTTAAAGCCTTACAGAAATTTAATTACGGTTCACGAAACTCATTTTGTCTCCAGTTAATCTAAAAGTCTTTAATTCATTCTCTACAGAATGTCATTTGAATTTCATGTTTTTCATTCGATAAACACAGGTAGAATTGAAATGTACGATCAAGAGTACTCAGGAGTAGTTAGAAATTATGTGAGAAGCGGTTATTATGTGAAAACTGATGTTTCGGATGGGCGTGAGTACCTCTATTATCCGGTGATAATTTGTTTTGCCTTTCGTTTCTAACTTTTATTTTGCATAAATGATTCAATATTTGACCTGGTTATTTTTTGAAAGCTGACCAGTAGACAGTGATTAATTTGCTTGTGTGATTTGATGCTCTAAAATGTGTTCACAACACGTATTCATTACTGTCAAGTGAAAACGATGGTTCACTTTGAAATAAACGCGAATTATCTTAATCACTATCTGTGAACCACTGTGTATTCATCACATTATTGACTATCATATTCCTATGGATCTAAAATAGCAATTAAGAATAATAATAACAGATGATAAAAAATTACCATAAACAGTGCACTGGTATGACATGATTAATTCGACCCGGAACAACTAGAACATCAAAATGAAGTTCACTCATTTCGTTCAGTTATTGCATTTAGTGACATTGAAGTAGAATTTCCGAGTAATAATTAGTTAAATTGAGGGAACACTGCTGGATTGGAATAACGGAATCTCAGAAAATGATTTTGTATGTGTATTATCGTTTAATCTGAAGGGAAGTACGGGATACAATGGACATTTAGGATGCAGTTGGACGATCTAGACTTCGCAGATGATCTGGCCCTTCTATCCCAAACGCAACAACAAATGCAGGAGAAAACGACCAGTATAGCAGCAGCCTCAGCAGCAGGTCTCAATATACACAAAGGGAAAAGCAAGATTCTCAGATACAACACAGCATGCACCAATCCAGTCACAATTGACGGAGAAGATTTGGAAGATGTAAAAACCTTTACATATTTTGGCAGCATCATTGATGAACATTGTGAATCTGATGCAGATGTGAAGGCGCGGATCGGTAAAGCAAGAACAGCATATTTACAACTGAGGAACATCTGGAACTCAAAGCAACTGTCAACCAACACCAAAGTCAGGATTTTCAATACAAATGTTAAGACAATTCTACTGTATGGGGCAGAAACCTGGAGAACTACGAAATCCATCATCCAGAAGATACAGGTGTTTATTAACAGCTGTCTACGCAAACTACTTCAGATCCGTTGGCCGGACACTATTAGCAACAAGCTACTGTGGGAGAGAACAAACCAGATTTCAGCGGAGGAAGAAGTCAAGAAGAAACACTGGAAGTGTATAGGGCACACATTGAGGAAAGCACCCAAATGTGTCACAAGGTAAGCCTTCACATGGAATCCTCAAAGCGAAAGGAGGAGAGGAAGACCAAAGAACACATTACGCCGGGAAATGGAAATAGACATGAGAAAAATGAACAAGAATTGGATGGAACTAGAAAAGAAGGCCAAGGACAGAGTGGGTTGGAGAATGCTGGTCGGCGGCCTATGCTCCATTGGGAGTAACAGGTGTAAGTAAGTAAGTAAGTAATTGTCGTTTAGATATTACCGGTCTATTATGTTTTCTGAAGCTTTTAAAATCAACGCTTCGGAAGTAAAATGTTCTTCTCAGTTGGTTGGATTGAAACATTCATCATATCGTTGAAATAATTATGAGTCTCCTTGCAACTCTTATTAAAATGAACCAGTTTACTTAAATCTTGAAAGAAAGATGATAACTCATGTCCAAACTGATTCTCTGTTGATATTAATTATACATAAATAAAACCGCAAGTATTTTTACTTTCATCATTTCAGGGGAATTATTAGCCGTCAGAATGTCTTATTATCCAGTTGCTGGTGGTGAAAGTAAGTATCCATAAAATATATATTTGATTACACATGAAATATTTAAACACCTACACCATCATTCGCAGTACTTGTTTGCACATTTTTTGTTCATTTCACATCACTGAATTCTTTTCAAAAATTGACAAAAGTAATAAAGTGTAACCATCACAGAAAATTAGGAAGGGGGAAACCATCGATTGTTTGAACACATTGATTGAGACCTGAAGGACAATTGACATAATCAGGAGCAAACTAGGTTAGACGTGCAATAAATAGATCCGTATGAATAAACTAGGTCATAAACACATTTTACTTGTGGATAAACGAATGTAAAGATACATCTTCGTCAACAGGCGTCAATGCTGCTTGATCAGAAGTCTGTATTCTGAAATAAGTAAATTTGTGTTACTCACCACACGGTCATTCTTAAAAAGTATTCATTCAAATTAAGAAATCACCAAGACGAAAAACCTGAAGCTAATCATTTTCCGTCGTTACCAAACACTGATAAACCAATGGCTTGCATAACCTACTAAGTTACCATGTTCTATTTGTAAACAAACAAACCATAGCTAATGTCATGTGTACTTAGGGGTGATTTTTTCAGGTGTAATTATAGAGTGTTGAGCAAATGTCAATAACTCCTCAACTATCAGATTTAATTGGAAGCTTGATGATTTACTATTTCGATATGGAAACGGCGCTGTAATACAGCCTCGGAGCCTAGTTATCTGACATTAATATTGAAGAATGCATGCTTGCTTCACTTACACGACGTTCACCAGATTATATTTATTACGAATTCTACCAAAGAAAACATTTGAGATAACGGAGAAAATACCTGCCTAAAACTGATCACTTTGCACGTAGGCACATACACTTTCGCATTTAACAATGACATGCTAATCCCTTATACCTTAAATTTTAAATAACGATAGTCTTCTGCTTGTAGTTCCTGCATTCAATATAACTACTCTGATACAACCGAATGGGAAGATATCAATCTATTATGCGAACGTAAGTTGCAAAATTGAATAGTAATGCAGTATTGTTTGATGTATTTCAGATTGTTATCTTACTTTGCGCAAGTCAACACTGTCGAATACATCAAGATACATTGAACACGATAGAAGGATATCAAAATTTTTTAACGTGCACACAGACTATACGACTATTAATAACTCCGTACTGACACATTTTATTCTAGCACTTTTTCAAACAATGAATTATAGGAAGTCAAATGTTATCGATAGAAATTCTGACATATTTGAGCCGATTAAGGATAAACAGTGTATTTTATAGTATATTCCAACACAGTCATTTTCTGTCAAGCTTGACTACGTCTTTTGAAGTTCAGCTAATTGAAAATTTCATTGCCAAATAATCTGCGAGATAAATTGTTAAAATCTTGATCGTCTCTTAGTAAGTACTTGTTCGAATGTCAGCATTTAGTACTTCACCAATTTGAAATACAACAGATGTGTGGTAACTAGAAAGCGCAAGTGAGATGAAAGATTTCATTTGTGTTGAACTCAATCCACTTTGATTGCTTCGACGTTATCAGGAATTGTATGTACGGTGATGGATGGAAATGAGTACATCAACAAAATTCCTCTACATGACAACAGATTCACTTGCAGCAGCATTGCATTTATTCACTATCACATTTCCGTCAAGTGACGTAGATATTCATCTCACAGTGTAGCGCATCATTGCACGATAGATAGATCGTCCATTGGATTTCAGTGAAGTTGACAACTGAAGTGAGTCAGATTATCTTTGTAGACTAGATGAGGCACATTCCTGAGGAAAGTGAGGAAATCAGTATGCTCACTGTGTAACTAGTTGTCTTTGTGTAAAGTGATGTGAATGACGACACCGTCCTTTAGTGATTGGTTGGTTTTGATAAAGGTGGTTGTGTGTTGACAAATCTTTACTCAGACTTCCGTTACTTCTTTTCAGATTCCTAAGGTAGCTAGCAGAATCGAAAGGCCATCGGGAATTTATAAATGGTTACATTGCGGAGAAACAGGTATTAAATGTTTTTTACATTTTGATTAACACCAACCTACACAAGCAGTCATTTGTGAGCCTAATATTAACTTCTTTATGTACCCTTTGATCACCACACCAATACAGAACTTTGCTGTATTCTGTCCTAGTGATCTAATATATTTTTCTTACAGTCTACGTTATTCAGTAGTTTCGTGTGAGAACAGATTGGTCGAAGTGTCATTAAAGTGTTGATGAGAAAGGTGTGAAATAAAATCTGAATGCTTCTGGTAAACTCACTGTTCGAACAATACTGTTTGTTGAAAATTCAACGAGGATGATGTGTTTTCACATCTTGAAGCGAAGTTTAATATCATATGTGATACTAAATCAAGGTTGAAACTAGTGCTGACAAAACCGCGTGTTTTGACCAAGTCTTTTGAACAGTGAACTACTGAACGCTTCTGAATTGAAATCGAGTATCTATGTCTTCATTTGAACAACCGACAGCCTTGCTAGTGTCACATAAACCAATGTCGTTGTTTTGATGAAATCGTATTGGTGTTGTTTCTGTTTTATATGCTGTATTCTGTAAACAATGAATTTCACGATTCACGTCTGCTGACTTACGCCTAACCTGGTATACTGAGTAATATAACTATGGTGTGTGAATATCTTCATCATGGATATTCCGAGAATTTTTTCTCATTTTTTAACAGTCGCTCGTTAAACAAAATCTCAGTTATTTTCTTGTGTAAAATTTATTTCACAAGATAAGAAAGTAACTGAAATATATGTTCCTAAAATATGGATCCGAAGTGGAACGTTAGTGGAGTATGAAGCTCTCGGGGGTATGTTAAACCTTATTGTATCAGAAATGATTATTTTCACAGTTGAATACATCAATTTTGTTTCAAAAAATTGGAAATTTCATGTGCAATTTCAGCAACTAACTAAATGAAATTTGGCTACTAGTATCAAATCACGCTAACCTATACGTGGATTCTCTGTTGATTATTTAAAATGATGAAGGACGGATGTCCTTCACGTCCTCACGTCGATAAAATTCACTTAAGCGTACATAATATCACAAAACTATGGATGAGATAATATATGTCAGTTAGTTGATTGTGCATTGACTTGGAAGTGTCCATAGTTTTTCAACTTGTTAGATATGATATTGAACTTTCCTGAGTTATTAAAATCGCGGAAACATTTCCTGAAATCGTAATTAACTTGGAAACAATCGCTTACTTTCCAAAATCTATATTTCATCTTGTTCATCCGATGAATTGGACGTGTAGACAAGTCAGGTGTTCAGATTTCGATATACCATAGGCAGTAGATACTTGTACAGTATAAAAAATACTGAGGATTTTCATGTTAGGTAAGTGTTTCCTTCCTCATTGATATGTATAAAGAGTAATCATAAACACTCTTCAGTTCGTCTTGTGTTGGAGTATTGAAATAACATCACTATGACTGAGAAAACCATTCCATAATCTAATGTTCAGATTGACTCCACTATTCGTTGAATAAAATTTAATTTACTACCGATGAATGTTCATGATCCAATAAGTGTGACATGCTAGCCGACAGCACACAGAGTATAATGTGATCACATAGTTTCAAACATTCCATAACGATAGGTCGACTGAAATCTCTTCCCGAAAAACGTCAGCGACGAATTGAAAAACAATGTCACTCCTTTGTTTTTCGACCGAATTAACATAATTATAAGTGAATTTATTGTCTGGGGACAAATGAATTTCTTGCACGGATTTCAAAATAGTCAATGTGGGTGAGTTTACAATGTTATTTACCAGTTTTTACATGTTGAAGCGGTGTGGGCCACGGGGAGTGATAACCGCCCTTATAACCCTAACAGCACCCAAGACCACTGTATTCATAATCAACTTTCCTCTTCAATTCCTATTATTCGTCCTACATCGACTTTCAACTCTAAACTTCCTCTTTTGTCTTCCTCCTCAGGTGTCACCATAGCCAACGATCCTAGTGCTCAAAACTCTGTCCCAGGTCTACTGAAACCTCGCTCCAAACTACACTTTGGAGCCTTCAACTTACGCACCATATGTCAAATCCGTCAGCAGGCTTCCTTGGCTAAAACCCTAGAGTCTCTTTCCATTGATGTATGCTGTGTCTCCGCAACACGCATACAGCATTCCAGTGTGGTCATTCACTTGACCGCACCTCGGCAAAACGGAGAGCCAACGAGATACACCCTACGTGTATCTGGTGACCCGATTGCCAGTTCTCGTGGACTGGCAGGTGTAGGCATAGCACTAAGCATGAGGGCGGAACAAGCACTGCTAGAGTGGATCCTCGTCAACAGTCGTCTATGTGCTGTTCGGCTGAACGGCTCCGTTAGAACTCGAAAGGATAGGGACACACGTCGTTGCCTTTTCGTCGTTTCTGCCTACGCTCCCACTGACTGCAGCTCAAATGATGTGAAAGACGAATTTTACAGAAAGCTTTCTGAACTTCAGAAAGCTAAACGCTCAGACATAGTACTCATAGGGGGTGACTTTGATGCTCAGATAGGTAGCTTAAACCAAACAGAAAGGCATTTAGGTGGACATTTTAGCATTCCGGCACAGCGAACAGATAATGATGACCGTCTGCTGCAACTGTGCTCAGACAATCGCTTACTTTTAGCAAACACAAATTTTAAGCATAAGGAGAGACATCGTCTAACATGGCGACCTCCTACACCAAACCAACGATGGACTCAAATAGACTATAGTGCCATCAGTCATCGTTGGAAAGGGTCGGTAGAAGATTGTCGCTCATTCTGGAGTACCTGCTTGGACTCCGATCCCGCCCTAATACGGGCACGCATCTGCTTGCGCCTCACTGGACGCAAAAAAGCCACATTAAAAAGACCCATTAGAACTGAGTTGAGGAACGAGAAAACCAAAAGTAGGTTCCAGGAACAACTGAGATCACACTTATGTAGTTGTGAAGACGAGGCTGACCCAGATGTTGCTTGGAAGAGCATACAAGCAGCTGTGGAAACAGCAATGAAATCTATTGGTGACTTAAACCACAGAGTTACAAAGAACCAGTGGATTTCTTCAAAGTCTATCACACTGATGGATTCTCGCAAACTCGTCCCATCAGGTTCCGATCATGATGAAGAGCGACAACAAATCAGATCTAGGTTAAGAAAAAGTCTAAGAAACGACCGTGAGCAGTGGTGGGCAACGAAGGCAAAAGAGATGGAAAAGGTGGCGACTATAGGGAACACAAGACAGCTTTACAGACTAATAAAAGAAACTGGAATTAATAAGTCAAGTGTAAGTGAGATTATTTCGGAAAAAGACGACACCCGCATCTGCTCCCAGTCCAGACGTTTAGAACGATGGGCGGAACATTTTAGAGAACAGTTCAGCTGGCCTTCAGCTTCTCTACAACTACCCTCCATTCCCAGACAGTGTGAATGGAACATTGAAGTAGGTCCCCCAACTCTTGCTGAAGTTCAAAAGGCTATAGCTAATCTGAAACGAGGAAGGGCAGCTGGTCCAGATGGATTAGCTCCAGAGGTCTTTAAGGATGGTGGTCCAATTTTATCGATTAGGTTGACTAATATTTTAGCTAAGATCTGGGAGTTAGACGTTATCCCATCTGACTGGTCGCAATCACTTATCGTCCCAATATATAAGAAAGGGTCAAAATCATCCTGTGACAACCACAGAGGGATTAGTTTAACTAATATAATATCTAAAATACTAGCTTCGATAATTATCAGACGCCTAACTAAGACTCGTGAACTGCAAACACGAGAGACTCAAGCTAGCTTCAGAACTGGTCGTGGCTGCATCGACCACATATTCACCGTTCGTCAGGTTCTAGAACATAGGCATACTCATCGACGTCCGACAATGGTGGTCTTTCTCGACTTAAAAGCAGCATTTGACTCTGTAGACCGCGAGATTCTGTGGCAGTGTCTGTCATTGAAAGTTGTACCCCAGTAGTACATAAACCTTGTAAAGGCGCTTTACTCGAAAACTACTAGTCGAGTCAGAGCTTATGGCGAACTGTCATCTACTTTTGCAAGCTCAAGTGGTGTCCGTCAAGGCTGTCCACTTTCCCCATTTTTGTTTAACTTAATCATAGACCTACTGATGGAAATAACTTTCTCGTCGACTGAGTTCTCGGGTATTGATCTGTATCCAGGAGGTCCACTTATGGACTTAGAATACGCGGATGACATAGTCCTGTTTGGTGAAGACGCTGATAAAATGCAAAGTCTTTTGATAGCACTGAGCAACAATGCCAGAATGTTTGGAATGCGCTTCTCTCCCTCAAAATGCAAGTTGTTGCTTCAGGACTGGTCTGCGTCAACACCTGAACTAAGGATGGGGAGTGAAGTAGTCGAACGCGTTGACAACTTCACTTATCTTGGAAGTCTGATCAGCCCTAATGGGTTGGTGTCTGACGAAATCTCAGCACGGATTCGAAAAGTTTGTTTGGCTTTTGTCAACTTACGTCACCTGTGGCGAAGGCGAGATATCCGTCTATCAATTAAGGGACGAGTATACTGCGAGGCAGTCCATTCTGTTTTAATTTACGGCAGCGAAACATGGCCATTAAGAGTAGAAGACACTCGTAAGCTATTAGTATTTGACCACAAATGCTTTAGAAATATTGCTGGCGTCTGCTGGGATCACAGGGTAAGTAATAGTGAGGTTAGGCGCAGGGTATTAGGGAATGTTGGTAAATCAGTTGATGAGGTTATGAATCCTCATCGACTGAGATGGTTGGGCCACGTGTTACGTATACCTGAACACCGACTACCACGACGTGCAATGCTATCCGGTGTAGGGGTTGGTTGGAAGAAAGTTAGGGGCGACCAAACCAAAACGTGGCATCAGTGCTTGAAGACACTAACTTCTAGTTTGAGCCATGTTGGTAGATGCAGACTACTTGGTTGGGGTCCGCGTGACTTTCGTAACCAATGGTTGGAGACTCTTGGTGACATGGCTCAGAATCGATCACAATGGCGTCGGTGTATACACTCCCTGTCTTCCCTTAAACCAAGAGATTAAAATCACTACATATCTTTCTTTCTACGAACCAATTTTTTCTTCTTGTACTATATTACTATATACAATCTTTCTCTTATATATTACCACCTTTGACCCAACCACTGCTATGAATCCGGTGTTCATCTTGTTGTGCTGATGCGGTATGGCAACCTGGACCGATGCACATATGTGCCTGGTCCTACGTTGTAGCTGATACGAGACACATTTTCATCATCAGACAGATATCAGTGAATGAAACTCTAAATGTGTTAGAAATGAAATGCAGTGGGCTTTGCTGAACCAGATGACAGCATAGTGTATACATTTCTGAATGCAAACAGTTATCAACATCTATTAAATCCACACGTCAATACTCATCGTTGAGCATTCAACTTTGTTTCATTCAGTTCCGAGGTGTTGTCGTGAAAAGTGAATGACATGGTATGAACGAGTCCTCTTTCTCATGAATATGTGCATTGAGTAATCACAAAGAATTTTCATTTTATCATGTGGTAAGGTATTTAAATACCATCTCGACAACTAAGAGAATCATTCCATAATGTTATGTTTAGATCGACTTTAATATTCGTTGAATAAAATGCTACTGATTATGGATGTATTTTCATTCAAAGCCAAAATGTTGTCGTGAAATATGGATGTCAAAGGAAGTGTGCTGGATTTGGATTGCGCGAGGTGACGACAAATTCCCAGTGAATGAAACAGTCGCCTAATTTCGAAATCATCTTATCATATCATTGAGTTATAGTTATATTTTTCCTAATTCACTTATCTTTTGTTTAATAACTTGTTATGCAATCACCCTATTTTTTCCACTGAAGATTGTCCGAAATACAATTTGACTGAAGAATGTCGTGGCTCAACACCACCGAAAACAAGGTGTATATGGTGTGAAACAGCCAATATGTGCATTACCAGAAGTGTTAAGGATACTTATAAATTCAAAGTAAATGGTTGCAAGATTAAAGTAAGTGATTGATAGACTTCACACATTGTTTTCAATATTACCATATTCTACATTGTGAATCTGTTTACTAGGAAGAACATGTTTTTGCAAACGAGTAGTGTATTGTATACATTCACGATGTTTAATCAGATATGAGTACGATGCTATGTTTCCATGTAGACATTCAACAACCAATAGAAGCGTTGCTTAACACTTGTACTTGAAAAAATGGTATTTCTCCTGCTCATAGAATGTGTAGTTATTCTCGATGGGCAATATGAAACCGTATGTATGTGTGGATTCTTACAAAATGCCTATGAGATCAGTTTGAATGATGAAGCATAATCTGTCATAAATTCTGCATCATGTTTGGAAAGTGAAAGTTCGTGGACTCACATTGTTGAATGTGAGAACAAATTTTCCTGATATCCTGTTGAGAAATTTGTGTTTTGGATGGATTGCTTCAATAAAGACGTCAGTTATTGGTTTGTTATTAATTATTTACATTGTGATAAGCTGAAACATCTGGTGAACTAATTTCATCACACAAAATAGTTGTCGGTTAGTTGTAGGATAATGTGTACTCATCACACTGACCGTCAAATGAGTAGCAGATATCCTAAATCATTATTCATTGATCCAGCAACTACTGAAACTGATCTAATAAATGAATTGAAGAAGACTAGTGGAAGCACTGAATCACATTTGGTAAATATTTGATATTTTATAATCATTATACTATTCCTTTCATTTCAGAACATCGATACAGATAAAACAACATCTGAAGACACTGAGGATGGAATACCACTGGAATTCTTTTACCCCAATTACCATATCTTACGTCGTTCCGCATTGTTTTTATGGTCTTTGGTATTCGGCTATAATGCTGCATAAGGAAGCGAGCATGTCAATATTTCTCACAGACAGCTTGTCACTTGTTTTCATCAAGTTGACTTTCTTATTTTTATTTTTTAGTTTAGTAAACACACTTTCAATTTTTTTAATCATTTCAATAAATTCAAGATTGTTTCATGGAACTGCATATCACATTGATGATTGTTTACGTAATGACTGATGTCACTTTGTTGGTAGAATATAAAAATATAATTTTTTGTATTTATATCATTGTTTTCATTCAATAAAAGAAACATGGGTAATTTCACACGAGGTTACAACATTGCACTTGTCAATTAACAGTATCGTGTATACGTGATTATGTGACCATTGAAATCAAAACTGAGTCCGTTGTAAATGTCCATTTTGTTAAAGTCTCAATACTAAGAAATATCATTCGAAATTGACGTCGTTCATTGTTTTAAACTAAACTGTCGGAATGCGGCACTAATATTTAACTAAGCACTTCAATCCTTCCTTATTTGACTATTCACTGTTGTTGTTTAGGTGTTATGAATGTGTTGAATATGGAATAATTTTAGACGGTTCGGCTGATACTCAAATAGGAATGAAAAAAGATGTAGAGTGAATGATGAACTAGTAATAGATCTGCCATAGCATTGGCAATAAGATGAGAGATTTGGAAAAAAGAAAACACTGAAGTGTTTGCCTCAATGATTGATCACATTATTAAACAAAACTTGGCTGATAATCGGTCCTATTCTCATGGATTTGTGAGAAACTAGTCGACCAAGAATCATTTGCATTAGATGTTCGAATGTTCTCGTTAATGTTTAAGACTGAAAAGTGTTCAGTCTTTTCATGTTATACGTGAATCATGTGCGAATCGCAAGGATATTGCCATAAGGTCACAATGTAATATATATTAAGGTGAACACAGGCATGATAAATATTTGTCTTGTGGCAGTCTGCATTCCCAAAATTAATTTCATCTCTGTGATGCTGGATGCTTGAAATGTGACAAGAATTGGTAGATTATGATGGTATGTTAAACGACTATTCATTTACTTAATGATGATTCCAAACCCCGTTATTAAATCTTAATAAAATCGGAGCTTTTGATGATAATAATCCACATCTAATCATGATGTTTAAGGTTTTATTTCTACATAAAAGGGCAATTATATACCTTTTTTGGTTCGTTCCATAATTCGATTGTTGACAAACGCAGTATACAGTTTCCTTATTTTATACAAAATTTTGACTTTATAAAGTCACAAAGTGAACCTGCCTTCAATAGCTTTCAAAGAAGATTTCGATGCTCTGATTGAATATTTCGTGACTGATTGCGTTAAGTTCTGTGAATGAATAAGAATTCATTCCTCAACGTTTAATTCCCGTTTGCTGAAGCTAACGCATAATACAGGTGATGCTGGAGATATTTGTAGTCAAGCTCATTGTTCTAAAGTGTACAGTGAAGCTGATTTGAAGTACGTCTTTTTTCGGATTCGTCTGGATAGACGTCTATCAGATTTGACAACAACTATCACTCTTCGTTGTCCATTCAAATATAATTACTTTCCATTTGGTTTAAGTTGTTCTACAGCCATATTTCATGAAGTGGTGATCTTAAAAGTGTTGACGTTTGTCCAGATGACCTCAATCTTGATAGTTTTCATAAAATATTTCGCGGTCAGTGACATGCTACTTTCTTCGTAGTCTGCTTGAGAAAAAATTGTTGTTAAGTCAAATGAAGGTTTATTTCATGTGATTGGTCTGAAACTTTGATTTCCGGTATGCTTTATCAGGATCGATGGGTTATCCACCACACCTGATGGAATCTGACTAATTAAGCTGATCCTTAGAGTTTCTAGACTGTGCTGCCAGTAAGTGTTTTATATTAAAGGTTTCTACGTCATATGAAAATTTGAGTTTAGGGATGAGCAACCAGCAAAAATAATAAAAAAGAGGTAAACTTCATTCAGCATTCATTGGAAAACTAAATTTAGTTTTATCTTGCTCTCGGTTTTATAAAATGTCTGCAACTACTGAAAAATGTGCATGTTCCTTTATCTTTCCTATCACTCCAGTTTATAGTTGTTTACATCACTGAATTTAATTGGTCATTCACTTCTTCACAATCAGCATGTAGATCATCATCGTTTTGTAATCTGCATCGATAATCATTTTTTACTCGAGTTGGGTGGGAATTATGTGAACTTCACTCCTAAATCAAAGTCACACCTTCCTGTTAATTAGTATCGTGGACCAGTCTTTGGTGATATCTAGGCACTGTGGCTGTAGTGAGTGAGAGCTCAGGTGTGAATGATCAGTTTAATGTTAGTTGCAGAATCACAGTGTCTTCATATAATATAAAAACCATACATTCGACACTTCACTTGCATGTCTTCCGTCAGTTGATTCTTAATACTACTTCATTGTCCTTTCATTCCAGATGAGTTCAACTGTGTTCAGTGTGAGGCAGTTACCTACCAAAAACAATGGTATATGGTTGCGCGATGTCGTGAAGTGGTTGAAGTTAGACGTGAACACCGTTGGATGCTACTTAGTGGCAAGAGACTAAACGTTCGCGCAAGACTTAAGGTCTTGGATTCGATTTCTGCTTTCATGATTGTCGATAGGTACTGTTATGGGGTCTCGTAATACAACAAACAGGCTGCTGAGTGATTCCGGGTTTTTAATACAGTTCTAACATTTGTTGGTCCATAATTTCAATCAAAAATCATATATCCTGGAATGCATCTAGTTTCATTGACAAAACGTCACACATTGTGTTTATTGTAGTCATTTTTATAGAATATGTGAAGAAATAAAAATTTCGTTTCATGATGATTCTTACGGTGATATTTCGGTTTGAATTTTCATCCATACCACTGACTGTGAAATATTTTATCCGTAAATACTGTGGAAATATTTCCGCAGTAAGTTGCTCGTGAAGTTCACATTGTGTTGACTAGAACAACTTTGCTTCGTTCTTCAAAAAGCTGTCAAGTAAAGTACATTAACAATTGGGTGATCGATCAGTATAAAGTCAGGCACCATCGAACGCTAACATCAGCCTATTAAACTTTTTCAGTTCTTTTATAAGTACAACGAGTTTAAGGTTTTACAGTTACTTCATCAATGGAAGTTTGTTCAAAGCATAACATTATTCTCAGACTGATATACACATTCACATATGGTGAGTGATATTCTAGCACGTTCTAACGACGGATATTAACATTGGACAACATATCTCATAATGATGAAATAACCGCTTCCATAATGAGCACTCAGATCATCATTCTTACTGTGAAATAACTGGTTTTGTAAAGTATAATACTTTTTATCCCTACAGTTTAAATAAACGTTCTTAAACTGATTACTTTTGCTCTTAACTCATCTCTTTATCAAACGTTGATTTTAAAAAGAATAATTCGTTTACGCAACATTTGTCACTGATGTTTTGAATGGAATAATACCTCCTGTAAGATCCATTTTGAAGGTTTTGTGTGTGTGTGAAAATCCTTCCATGTATACATTTGTAGTTTGTTCCCATTGTTGTTCCTTTAGTTGTACATTTTTATTATCCTTATTGATTCCATTTGAGTTGGTCATATTTGTATTTTACTATAGTTGTTATTTTTCTTACGCCTTCACTGAGTTTTCATGTTCCTTCTTGAATTGCATTTATGTTGTTTTACTTAATACTTAGTCTTGGCAGCAGCCATATTGGTTTGTTCCTCCTTTTGATTGTGTTGCTTGTATTGACTAGAATTGTACATTACTGACTGTGAATTGTGGTACACTTGCAGAATTGAAAGCATTCTGTGTTATAAAGCAATCAAATAATGTGTTTTCAATGAATCTATGCGTGATCTAGCCAGACAGGATGGAATAACACTGATTTGTTGCGATTGGTAATTTTCTCTCATCCTTTATCAACTTCTTTATTTATTGTAATTTATATTTGATTCATTGAACAATTATTGGCTGAATAGCTGGGTGGTCATATTTGTTTAGGTAATAGTATACATTTAAATTTATAATGAATTTCAGAACCGTCATTTTACCCAATTACATTGTTTTGCTTTCAACCGGGCAAGGGCGCATATCTAACCCACCTAGACAGCTATTTTTCAGTCCAAACCTTAGTTTGCATCTAACATCTCCAAGAACTTGTACGTTAATTAAAATGAAGTATCGTTCAAATTAATAAAACAAAATTTATGTACCAGAAAATTTACGAAGTTATAGAAGGTGTTTAACGTCATTCAGATTTTCTCTAAATGGAGTGTTAGCGTTAATAATGGCATCAAATGATGGAATATATATGAGACTTTTCTTTTCCTAACAAAACTTTAAACAGCATTATAATATTGTCAGAGTGGGTATCCGTTGAGATTGCAGTAATTTTAACATTGGGATTCATGAGTATTATACTAAACGGCCGTCCGGTGGTTCCAGTTTTTTAAAGGTGGCCTAGCCCAGATTGATAGATGGATTCAAGCATTGTCGCATTCACTATAGTAGTTTAACTTCACATCACCAGAGAGATACACTCCATGTTTTGCGCTATGCAACTCATCCAGTGTATGTAAGTCTATCAGAAGTGTAACAAAACAGGAGTCCCAAAGAAGACTTATCCTTATCAAAAAATATGAAGTTAGTTGAACAATACAACTGAGATGGTAAATGATTGGAGTGTTTATTCATAGCTGGAGCAAGACCATCTATGAATTGACAACCAGAAAATTTGTTTTCACTTCATCTTTTTTTTAGAAAAGTAGTAATAATTTGTAAAATGAGAATTTCACTCATCTTTGATGTTTGTGGGCAGGTGATTATCAGCCAAATAAACAACATATTATTAGAGAACGATGTTATTTTATTCTAACCAACATTCATATAACGCTCACTAAACAGAATAGACTATATACATTATCATATTTATTGGTTATTTGAGATGGAATGAGGTGATAAATGATAACAAATTATAATCATAGCTGATTCTATAAACAAAAGAGGTCAACAAGAATATGTTTGTTCATTAGACAAACACGTTGTTTATACTTAGATTGAAGAAGTAATCAATATTACTTTGAATATTTTATTGGATATTACAGAAATGATAGAACTTGATGTGATGTTATATTCAATGTGATGAATCAGACAGAATTCTCAATGTTTCAAGTCTTATTCCTCAATGCACACGATTTACAGGTCTATGGCGTTTGTACAAATTAGTGATACCTTTGTACCTGA